AGGGGAAGGGGAAGGGGAAGGGGAAGGGGAAGGGGAAGGGAAGGGAAAAAAAAAGAAAAGAAAGGACAGACGGGCTGCTGAGTTTAACGGAGCATTGGGGCGGTTGGGGGCGCAGCGTCCGGTGGGCCCCACAGGATAGCATCGCCCCTTTAAGGAGGAGGTGCCATTGGAGCCGCCGCCGCGCCGCGATGGCCGCCGCGGGCGGTGCGGGGCCCGGCGGGTGGCGGTGACCGATGTATCTGAAGCGGCCGGCGGGCGGCCTCGCCTTCTGCCTCTTCTACCTGGCGTCCTTCTTCAACAATAAGGTGAGCGCGGCCCCGTGCAGGTGGGCTCTGCGCGGCGATCCCGGGTGGGCGCGACTGTCAAGCAAACGCGGTGTTCGTAGTCTGTCGCAACGGAGATGTCCACAGCGTGCCCAGAAGTGAACTATTTAACTTAGTTTGAAATAGTTTGCATTGTACGGCGTGGACAATACGGTGTAATTCAGCGTCTGCTGCCTGCCACAGGGACTGGGGCAGCATCCAGCGCTTCTAGCATGGGAAGAGAACTTATAGATAAGCGTTCAGACTGTATCTTGTCCGTTTATTTTTCTTTATTTTGGTAGGAGCTTCTTGTATTTTGTTGCTCTTGCGATTGCGTGTTAATGTTATAGCTCTGTGTGTGTTTGATGTCCATTAATTTGGTATTTGTTTTTCAGTATGTCCTGTCTGTTCTGAAATTTACCTACCCTACCCTTTTTCAAGGGTAAGTACCGTTTTTTAAGAGTACAGTTGTTTGAAAAATGACTTCAGTCAATAAATTCAGTCAGTAAACGTCTTGCTGTTCCATGCTGGTGCTAACTTTGGTACTTCATTTCGTTACTGGCTTTTGCTGTCAAGAGAACATACTTAACGAAGCCTTAGTAAAGCAGGTTTCATTTGTCTTGGTCAATTTTTAAGCATCACAACGGGAATTTAACTAAGATATATAGACTCCATCAGTTCCCAGTTACCTGCAGATTTTATGCTTCAGTGTAGAAAAGTGGCAATTATAGCACAGCTTGTCTAAATTGGAAATGGCATTGGTGTGTAACATGCGGATTCGGTGTATTCTTTTCCAGTATGCTAATGAAAGCTGGCCTTTAGTCCATCTTTAGACATACACCAATACACTGCTGCTTATTTTCATGCTTAGTCTTTGTTGTGGCTGTGTGTTGTAAGTCCCTATCGTATCTTGATGAGAAATTTAATGCTTTGCTGAATATACATTTGTCAGTGTTAATAATTTGTGAGGTGTTTAAGTTCTTTACAGAGAGAGTGGTGAGGTGCTGGAACAGGCTGCCTAGAGAGGTTGTGGATGCCCCGTCCATCCCTGGAGGTGCTCAAGGCCAGATTGGATGGGGCCCTGGGCAGCCTGGTCTAATATTACATGTGGAGGTTGGTGGCCCTGCATGTGGCAGGGGGGTTGGAGATTCATGATCCTTGATATCCCTTCCAACTCTGGCCATTCTGTGATTCTGTGAAATTCTGGACTATTGTATTCCAGTCTTCTTTCATTTGCTCTTTTGAGATACTGGTTAAATCTGTGCACACTTGATATCTTTCATTCCTCTTTTGCTACTTTGCATGGGTTGTGTTTTGCCTGGTTTGCAACTCCAGGGCTGTAATTACTTCTAGGAGTAACTCCTCCAGGAATCTCCAGTTTCTTTGAGTGTACTCAGCTCTATTAAATATGCAGCAAGTGCTTCCTTCACTTCTATCGCTTGTGTGCAAACAGTCTCTTGGACAAGTCTTTTAGCACAGAGGAAAAGGGTTTTGAGTAATGTATGTAAAATACAATCCTGGTAAGTCAACAGTAAAAAAAGCATTTGCTCAATGGCTGTATAGGATATGTGTTACAACATTTACTTCCTTTTTTTCCATTATTTGGAAAGACGTCCCAGCATCTGAGTAATTTTGTTTTTTAAAGGTGACTATTTCTTTGAAAATTAAGTGATTCAGATACACTTTTATCTAGAGCTAAGGCAGCTGAGTAAAGGAACAAAGGATAATGCCCAGTTCACACCATTCATTGATGTTGTTTTTGTTCCCTGTATAACCTAAATCTGTATCACGTAGTGCTAAGGATTTGGAATTCTTAATAACTCCAAGCTCTGTCCTTAAAACCTGAAATTATATATATATTTTTTTCACATAAAGTTGATGGGAATTAATCACTGGTTTGGAATAGAACATGATCAAGCCTTCAGCAGATGAGGGATATCTGGCACCAAGCTCTCTTATGCCTCCAGTGCAATAAGGGTGAAGTGAGCTGTGATGGTGGTGAACAGTGAGCTCAATCTTTTCTGACTATGTCCAGCTGTATGCCATGCTGCATGTAGCATTTATGTATGTATGAGAGAGAGAGAGAGAGAGAGAGATTAAATAATTGCTTAAATGCATTGCAATGACTGGGAATAATCAACAAACTCATTTTTATACCTAATATATATTTAATGTGATTAAACACTGTAGCATAGGATCTCTGCCTGACTTGTACTAGATCTTTGGGTACTTTTACCTGAGAAGCATCTCCCTGAAAACCTGAAAAAGAAGGAAACTGGTCATTTATTATAAAGCTTAAAAAATCACTGTGCATCACTACTGGTTTTAAATTATCTGCAAGGATTGCTAAGGCCTCACATACTACTTCCACAGTAAACTAAGGAATGCCATTGTGACAGGTAAGTGATTAGATAGATAAGTCAATTCAGAATACATGTAATTGTTTTTTAGCATTTGAATAAGAAAACCACAGTATTCTGGTTTATATGCTAAGTTATCTTACTGTATTTTTTTTTCCTCTAGAGGCTCTGAAGCAGAGGCTCATGCAGTGTGATGATTTGATTGTTAATGGCACTTCAATTACTGCATGCTACATGTCATTTGAGTTATAGGCAGTGTGTAATCTAGGCCCAGCATGAATAACAAGAAGTCGTAAAGCTAATGTTTGAAATTACCAGCACTGTACACTTCTTTGGGACTTATTCGTTCACTAAGCTGAGTTCAGTCTGTGAATCCTGAAATCATATTTATTTGCTCTAGCAATAACAG